CCAACAGCCCCTTCTCCCCTTGCTCCTTCTCCCCTCCTCGTTCAGCAGTGCAGCAATGTTATCTGATGTTATGGCCCAAGGAAGCCCGGAGGATGTTGCTGCTGCCCTCCCCCCTTATGTCTGTTTGTCCCATGGTTCACAACAATCAGGGACAGCAATCAGGTCCTCCCCTTGCCAAGTTTAAAGAGTTGAAAAAAAAGTGTAGTTGAAAACAGTCTCCATAGCAGTTTTACTCTTGGCCTGGTTGATGAGCTACAAGGAAATGGAAATCTTATTCCAGCTGACTGGAAAGCCTTGGTTAAAGCTATGCTCATTCCTGTGCAATATGTATTGTTTATGCAGGAATGGAAAGCTCCCGCTGTGATTCTGGCCATGGATAATTTACAAAACAATATTGCTGTGTCTGCATATGTGTTAAATGGAGATTGACTTTATCACCATAGCAGAGCAGATGACCATCCCTAACAGGGGATTGGCACAAGTGGGTGACATTGTTAAAGCAGCCTGGTTAAAAATCCTTGACAAAGATACTCCTTTAGGGTCTTTTGCCAATTTGCACCAGGGTCCTACAGAGGACTCTGTCTTTCATTAACAAATTGCAAAGAGCGATTGAATGGCAGGTGGGGGAATACTGAGGCTGCTGATATTTTGATGAAACAGCTGGCATTTGAAAATGCTAACATGGATTGTAAAATGGTCCTTCAGGCTGTTTACAATAAACCAGAGTCTGACATTGCTGCCATGCTAAAATTATGTCAGAATATTGGGACAGAAACTCACAAGACATAGCTTTTGGCCACAGCCATGACTACTTCCTTGAACCCCACCCGAGATCATAAATGTTTTTCCTGTGGCAAGGAAGGGCACTTCAGATGGGAATGCAGATCAACCCCCCCAAAATAATAAACACCTTTCTAAAGAATTCCCCCTGTGTCAGAAAGGTTATCACTGGGCCAATCAATGCCGATCTGTTCCAACGCCAGGAAACTCCAAGTCAGGTGGACCTCCAGCCCCGGGTCAAGTGGGGGAAACTCAGTGAATACTACCCCAGTTCAAGAAATCCAACATGCTACTATTAAAAATACCAGTCATGATCTGATCACAGCCGAAGAAGTCAACTATCAATTCCCTCTAGCTGTCTATAAAGTCAAAACAGTACATCATGGTCCAATACCCCAAGACACTCTGGGTCTCATTCTCCCCCGCTCTAGCATCTCTGTACAGGGTTTATTTGTTGTACCAGGCGTCATTGATGGGGATTATGAGGAAACCCTAATTATTCAAACCTGGTCTAATATACCACAAGTCCTTCCTGCAGGTGAATCTATTGCTCAGTAGTAGTTGTTTCCATTAACACAGATGGGTCCTTCTAACAACCCTCGTAGTGGGGATTTTGGTTCTACTCAAGTTGCTACTTTAACTACCATTGAGCACTCGCAGCCCCGACTCCCTCTTAAATGGGATCACTTGTTCTTAATGGCCTGATTGATACAGGAGCTGACATTACCATTACTGCAAAGAAAGACTGACCAGAAAGCTATCCCACCCAGCCAGTGCATTTGGGGAGTTGGAGGCTATGAGCAAGCCCAGAAAAGCCTTCAGCTCATTGTTTTGGAAAGTCTAGGTAACTCTCCTAGACAAGTCACAATCACTCCTTACATTCTGCCTATTCCCTTTTCCATCTGGAGTCGGGATCTCTTGAAAAAGGTTGATGCAAAATCGCAGACAAATTTATAATACAGGCCTCTATGCAGCTTTGCCTTTAACATGGCTCCCTGGACCAGTTCGAAAGCATGTAAAAGCGAGTAGATAAATAGGTACCACCTCGGTGGAAAGGTAAACAGCGTTCCGTGTATAGCCGCACTGGCCATGTGACAACGGAAACTGTCTTTGGACAAACGCTGGCTCTACGGCTTGGAAACGGGAATGAGCACCGCCCCCTAGAGTCGAACACGACTAAAATGTCAAGGGGAACCTTTACCTTTACCTGCCCTTAACAACAGACAGATTGGATTTGTTTTCAGTGTGGAAGAGATTGTCACTCTCGAATTGGTCTTCTCAGCCACACCAGATGCTGTTCCAAGACCTCCATACAGAGCACGATACCATAGTCTCTCGAGACTGAAGGATGCCTACTGCCCTGTCTATACCTCTCACGCCTTTACCACTTTCTGCAACGAATGGAACATTCAACTTTAACTGCACAGGACAGGCTATTGTAGAATGAGCACACCACTCTTTCAAATTTCTCCTTTCAAAACAAGCAAAAAACAGAGGGATTAAGCCCCAAGATGTTCAAGATGTAGTATCAATAGCATTATTCACATTAAATCATTTAACTGTACCCAGTAGAGAAACACTTTTGTAAAGAAATCCCCATGAGAAGGCCGCTGGTGACTTATAAGCAACCTCCATAACCTCAGTGGGAGGATCAGGCCCTTTACTAACATGGGGTTGTGGCTATGCTGCTGTGCTTACTCCCACAGGTCCTTTGTGGTTCCTAGCTCGGTGTGTGAGGCCATATCGTGGGAAGAATGAGTTAGCATCGCAACCTGCTGAACACGATTCCAGAATTCAACCCAGCGATGGCTCTGGAGCAGGACCAGATGACTGCAAATCAGCAGATGATCTCAGAAACCCCTGAAATTTTTCTAGCAGCCATTATCTCACAGGTGAATGCCAACTCCGTGACACTGTTGTGTTCTCATTTTTGGAATTATGCTCCTCATACTCCTTATACGTTCCTGTTGCTTTATTCAATGTATACCAACCTTCTTTTCCCTGATAACTACCTGTCTCAAAAATTCAACCTCAGGCCTTGGCCAAAAAGACTTTTATGTAGTTCACAAATATATGAAAGAATATGTGCCTTTGCTTAACAAACAAACAAAAGAAAAAGAAAAAGAAAAAAAGTGTTCATCAAGCCTTGGAGTTGGGAATTCAGCACCCACAGTCTATACCAGTGATGGTGAACCTTTTTGAGCCTGAATGCCCAAACTACAACACCAAACCAACTTATTTATTTCAAAGTGCCAACACAGCAATAAAATCTGAATACTGGGGCGCTATCACTATCTCTGAGGCAAAAATGATGAAACTGAGGTTGTCCTACTTGGGCGCATCTTGAAAAGACAGGATCCTCTGGAAAAGACAATAATGCTGGGAAAGGTGGAAAACAGCAGGAAAAGAGAAAGATCAAACACAAGATGGACGGACTCCCTAAAGAAAGTCACAGGCTTAAGCTTACAAGAGCTGAGCAAGGCAATTGACAACAGGTCATTTTGGAGATAATTTATTCATAGAGACCAGGTTAGCCACTAGCCTGATGGCTCACGTGCCCACAGAGAGGGCTCTGTGTGCCAGCTGTGGAACGCGTGCCTTGCGTTCGCCATCACTGGTCTATACAAACTCTGACAGGCCGCAGGGCAGAGCTGCAGGCCCAAATTGAGTTGCTGGAAAACAAAGGGAGACACCCCAATTTGAGAGTGGGTGGAATCAATTATTTTGAATAAGAAATTAGCATATTCTAATCCGGTGCCAATTGCCATGGTGTGAAAGAACTGTACTATTACTTTGCTATTGTTGTTGCTTCCACGTTCATCCAATAAGCAAGTATTTTAAAAAACAAGGACACAGCAAGGGTGAAGTCACCTAGTTTTGAGCTCCTGGGTTGCCACCGCAAAATAACCCAACTTTCTGCAGGAAGTTCTTCAGATTTTTCTTTTAGAAATTGTTGGCAAATGTCAGTCGATGGGCCTCTAGATCTATCAGCCAACGAGAGAAAATAGAACATTGATTAAGTGGCCTCCCACAAGCTCTTCGATCCT